ACTTTCGCGAGAGAGTTTGGAAACTTCCACCGTCTGAGATCGAAACTATTTGAGTGAGCTAGAGTTGCTTCTGCATTAGCGAGATGATACAGCGGATCATCTCGTTTGAAGGACTAGTCAAGGTCAGCTATCTGCTTGCTGAACTTGTAATCTTGCCACTTTACCAAAATCAAGTGTTTTCAGTTTGAAGTTAGTTTCTTTTAACGCTTTTTTAATTGCAGTTAAAGAAATGGACCGGCTTGGCCGGGATTATTTGCGTGAGACACTGAAACAAAGAGGCGAAGCGGACACAGTGGAGGATTTGCTGCGCATGGGCTTTCACTGGTCGATGTTTGTCTCTGTCCATCATCTTCATATGCACCTGCTCTATCCGACTCGAGACGTATGCTTCATCTCGTCCGAACTTATTCAGCATTCGGGCAATGATAGAAACAGCAACAGTTTTTTTTTTTGCTCATGGAGCAAGAATATAATATTAAACCTTCTATAAAATTCCTATCCGTGCATTTGATTTTGGCGTGAAAATAGCACTGGACTAGCCAGTGTCGAAGAACGGCGAGGTGCGAAGTCCGGTTGCACTGAGCGTGCAGAGAAGGTATTATGCCGCATTTTGTCTGGCGAAGCTTATTTGATACGACCAGCTTCTGTCTTATCAGCGGTTGAGAATGTAGCAAAGATCAAGCAGCTATGCATGCAGAAACGCAGATATGCATAATTTGGAATAACATGAATGAAGGAAGATAAAAATGATTCCAGCACCGTGCACGCTCTTCGACCTGAACTGTGGCAACGGATGAAAAAGCGGGAGATGTGCAGCTACTAAGAATCTCAGATGTTGGACGGGTTTCGCCATCGGATAGTGCGCATCTCGACAAACATCTACAATTATAGATCGCTAACGAGTGATAAACTCGCCACTCTTGTTTTCCCGGAAGTCGATAGAACTTCATGCAGTGTTCTTGGTTTGTATGAAATGGCGGATGGCTGAACACATCGTAACCTGGAAGGATGGGGAAGTGATTTCGCCCGGCAGTGACGGGGGAGAGGAAAATGTCGACGAAGATGAGTTTATCGTCAAAAAAAAGTGGTTTCCACAAATTATCTCTCGTCAGTCCCATTCGTCATAAGTTGTTGTTCTGTTTAGGTTACATTCCAATAAAACCTTCAAAATCATTTAGGTTTATGCTCCCACCATGGCCAGCGAGGACAGTGTGGCAGAAGAGTTCAATGCGGCACTCGAATCCATATACGGTAGCTGTGCAAAAATTTCAAAGCAAAGTTAAGAGTGGAAGACGATGAGAAGTATGTTGACTAATATGGCAGTGCAAAAGGAACAGCAAGGTGACAGGCATGCGACGATAGTGGGGAATACTGGTTCGGGAAACACGCGGGACGGAAAATGGACTTGGCTTGTGCGAAACGGGAAGATCAAAGAAAATCGGCTACATCTTGGTAGACGCTTTGGTGCGTTTCCAGTAATATTTCCTCAGAATCCTCTTTCAGTTCAAGAAGTAGCTACCATATCATTCCAACTCATGAAAGAAGTGTACAGAGCGTGATAATTCAGCGTAACGGTCCCAGAGAATTAATGAAGAGGAGATGAAATGACAAATCAGGAATACCAACTGGAAAATTTCGGCGAATATCAGGGTCATAAATTACTCGTTTGTGAACTTTTTGAGTGCCCATAACCAGCTGATTATGCTGGCCTTGACATTTGGACTCAATTCCTCCTGTCAGGGGCGAAAAGAAGCATGAAAATGGATAAAACTTGAAGCGCGAAACATTTTTTTCACTATGGACAAATTAGATAGAGGTTGAAGATCTTGAAGACCAGTTGTTTGACAAAGACAGAGACTGTTGAAAAAAAGCGGACTGCCGGCATTTAAGCGCCCATAATTCGTGTTATCAGACAGCAAATCCTTCCTGCACTTACTAACAAGGTGCAAGTTTTGCAGTTGTTTGAATGAGAGGTGGAAGATCCTTGCAGTGATGGCATTAATGTCGAATTTACATCCGGAGAGCACGAAATTTGGAGAGCTCATGTTAGTCAGTACTCAGTTGAAAGAAAGATGCGCAAGCAGTTGGAAAAAATCGAGAAATATTTTTTATCACAAAAAAGGCAATAAGGGCGATACGAATGATTCACATTTACATCCACTAATATTTGCTAACTCTCCACAAAAGTTTTTACTAACTGACTAACAGAATTGTTCGGTGAGCAGCAACCGGGAGAGCAAAGTGGATTCCGAAATAGTTATGGCATGATGGGCAAAATTTTCGCTCCAAACTAGCTGCTAGAATGCGCAAGAAGTGTAACAGCTCCCTCAATGTCTTCGATTCGTCGATTACGAAAATGCATTCGAGAATTAGAGTTGAACGCTCTGCTGCAAGATTTTGCAGATGGGGTGGATGATTGGATCTCTGTGGACGATTTCTATGAAGCAAACATAGGCTACTTGACAGATGCAACACTTTCTCCAGTCCGTATACTGACCTAGTAAAACGTGAGACTAGGCGTTCCTGAATTACCCGAGCTTTTTACAACTTGTTTGGAGATGATATTTCTTAATCCGGGGCGGAAAATTGGTCTGGAATTTAATCGCGAGCACCTAAATCACCCATGCTTTGTGGATTACATAATTCATAATGCTGTCAGTGCTTACAAGATGAATGAGATGCTACAGGAGTTAAAGAGGTGATTCTGAAAACTAACATATCGAAGACGAAGGTGATGACAAGTGTCGGTATACCTGCAACGAAATTTGAGATC